TATAATCTCTAGTTGCTTAAGAACCAAGCTTACTGAGATCAAATATTTGTTAATTTTGTCTATTTGATATATTTTCTTATTGTTTATTTATTAGTAAACTGATACCGGAGCCTTTCTTCTTATTTTTGTCTGAGCTTGCTCAGAAGCTCTTATACTGTACTTTGAATGTTCTCTGGTTAATCACATCTCTTCTTTACTTGAGATGTTGGTTTCATCAACCTCTAAAATGTCTATTGAATTGTCTATAGTCTATTCATATAGAAATCTATTTTCTAGATATTACTTTTGATGCCATTAATATTATAGGTTGCTATATTATGTTCTGTTCTTCTTCTTGTATAATTTCTATTTCTACTATTTATATTGTTTCATGCTTTCTTCTCAAATTGACAACTGCCTGTGTACAACCTTCTTACTCTTTCTGTCTTCTGTATTCATTAATTGGCAAAAGATAATCTTTTCATTATTGATCTTTTCTCTGTTATCTTCTTGCAGAAAAAGGGTAGTTCTTTTGCCGATATTCTGTGATTTAACTGTTGCTTCTAATTAGGAGTGTTGAGCATCTCTTGGCTGCTCACTCAGGTTTTCAAGACGTTGTAGAATCTCTAGTAGCATTGATTGGTGTTGATCGATTCTGGCTGCTAGGTTATTTTTTTCCCTTGAATTTTTGCTTCTCAAGCTATTACTTTTCTTTAGACTAAAGGAATCTTTTCTCTTTTTTTTAAAATAGATATTGTTTTCTTTGTTACTATCAGATCTGCTGCTATTATTAGCCCTTTTATCTTCTTCTGATAATATTATTGCACTGTATCTAGTTCTTCTTTCTTGTGTGAAGCTCATTTCCTTATCACTGGATTCTTTTTTCCACTTCTTGTTTTTGTTTGTTTTCTTTTTTCTTAGTCATATTATTGGATAGAGTATCTTTCTCTTGCTTTGGTCATATCTATTGAAGAGATAGGTTGTTATACCTTACTGTTTTTCTCTTTGCTTACTCTATTTCTTTTTTGTTTGCAAAAGTTATTTTTGCTATTTGCTTCATAAAGCTGCTTCTTTTTTTCAGAATATAGACTGCTTTTGCTTTTCTGTCTTTAAGATGTCTTAATAGAAGAGTTTCAGAAAGCTCTTCTGTGATTTCTGTTAACTTCACTATGAATTTGTGTCTCTTATCTCTCTCTTTATGATCTTTTTTTCTGTAGATATGCGAGCTAGTCTACCATCACTTACTGAAAGAACCCAAGGTAGATCTTTATTCTCCATAACTTCATTGAACTCTACTACTGCTAAAGCCCTGCCAACCTTTTGTTGATATATATGTCTTCTATATCACCTAGTTTTTTGCACATATATCTAACTTCTTTCGAGTTTATATCTTTTGGCAGATCCCAAATTGTGATATAGTCTATATTTATACATCTATTATGATTGTATTTCTTTGATATTTCTGGGTTTATATTGTAATAACCTTCATTTTTATACAAGCTTTCATCTACCTCCTGGATGCATCTTTTCTTAATAATAATGTCTTTGGTCTTGTAGTTAAAATTTTGCTTAACTCTAGATCTATTCCCTTGGTTTCTTGCTTTATGCTTCAAATTTCTTGATTCATCATCAGTTATCAGGATTAAGCAAAGCCAATCTCCTTCTTTCTTTTGTATTCTTTTGATTGCTTCTTCTCTACTATATTCACAATCAAATCCTATTTTTACCCAGCTATTTCTATTTGTGAAAACTTTTCGTACTGACTTTATATGCTTGTCTTTGTTTAGCATTCCTTCTATATTTCTAGTTCTCTCTTTAGAAGAGTTCCTAAGTATCTTGAAAGCTGAAGCTTTTGCACGAAAAAATCTATCTTTTTCATATATTCTGTTGTTTAGTAACTAGATACTTTGTTCAATTAAGTTTTCTAATATAGTGAGTTTGTTATCTTCTTTCTGCTTTGCTTTTATTTGTTAAGTTTCAGTTTTGAAATTTTTTATTACATCTTGCATGATTCTGTCTATAGGAGCTTCTTCGTCTTGCTTAACCTTTTTGCTTTTGGAATTTTTTTTGATAGAGACTTCTCTTAGTATTTTTCTTAAGGCTAAATCAATTTTTATTGTTTTTTCACTTTTGATGCTTATATCCATGTTCTCTATTTGGTGTGAGAGATCTTCTATGCTCATCTTTTCTTTTATTTCTTTCTTCTCAAAGTTTTTGCACTGTCTATATTTTTTAGATTCTGTTAGTTTAACTTCTTCTTTTTCTTCTATTTTTTATAACAAACTTTTTTTTCAGAATCTTTTCTTTATAGAAAGAGTTGACTGCACACTTTTTGTGGTTAATCTTTTATTATATCTCTTTATTTTTAATTACAAATTTTTTTATATATATGAATTTTTTTAAATTGATGAAACAGAATTCTAATTTTTGACCTATTTCGATTTCAATAAGAAAACTTGTCAAAATAGATAAAGTATTAACTTTTCTATTGTTAAA